CCAGAAGGTGATGAGAGTCTGGTATTCACTATATGGGAAGGTAGTTGAGGCAGAAAGCCTCAAACATTTGTAAAAAAGTCATGCAGCATGGAAGCAGACCTTTTGGGTCCATCCGGTCCATACCGACCATGTTTCCAAGCTAAACTAGTCCCACCTGCCCATGCTTGGCCCATATCCCTACGAACCTTTCCTACCCATGAACTTATGCAAATGTCTTTTAACTATTGTGACTGTACTTACATCCACCACTTTCTGTGGCAGTTCATTCCGCACGTGAATTACTCTGTTTAACAAAAAAATTGTCCCTCATGTCCTTTTTAAATCCCCTAGTTTTGAACTCTCCCACCCTAGGGAAAAGACCCTTGTCATTCACCTTCCCCCTCAGATTTTATAAACCTCAAGTCACCCCTCCAGTGTAAAATGCCCCAGCCTTTCCAGTCTATTTTTATATCTCAAACCCTTCATTCCTGGCAACCTCCTGGTAAATCTTTTCTGAACCCTTTCCAGTTTAATAATATCCTTCCTATAAGAGGGTAACCAGAACTGCGCACAGTACTCCAGAAGAGGCCTTACCAATGTCCTGTACAACCTCAACATAATGTCCCAACTCCTATACTTGGAGGCCTGAGCAACGAAAGTACTTGGATAAGGCTATGGCCAAATGCTGAAAAGTGGGACTAGTGTGAATTAAGTTTTGTCAGTGCAGACGCAACGGGTCAAAGGGCCTCTCTCCTGTACAGTAGGATCCTATGACTATTCACCACAACCAATCCCTATGCCAGCAAGTTCCACAGTCTCCCCACTCTCCGTAAAGAAGTTCCTGCTGAATTTTTGATTGAATTAATTAGTAACTGTCTTGTATTGATGGTGCTGAGAGGGAACTATTGGCATTCACTGGCCTGACACTGATGGTAGTTCCATGTAGGAGCACTTTGAAATGTTGAATTAATTTCTGCACTTTCCCAGTCCTGTGACATTACTAGGCACCTGGCGTATTGTGTGTAATCTTAGTCCCCTCACTTGGGGAGAGATGTAGTTGTATTGGAGGTAGTTCAGATGATTGATTCCAGAGGTGAAGATTTTTTTTCTTCTGAAGAGAGATTGAGCAGCTTAGGCCCGTAGGCCAAGCATTTGGGCGAATAAGAGGAGATCTTATTTAAGGGATGCAAGATGCTAAAGGAAATTGATAAAGCAGACGTAGAGCTGGTGTTTCTCCTTTTGGGGCAATCTAGAACGAGGGATCATCTTTTTAGGATAAGGGGTAGCAGATTGAAAACAGATGAGAAATTACTTCTCTCAAAGTGTCATGAATCAGTAGAATTCACTGCCCCAGAGTGTGGAGGATGCTGGGACACTGAATAAATTTGAGGAGGAGATAGATTTTTGATTAGTAATGGGTCGAAGGGTTATAGGGAGCAGACAAGAAAGTGGAGTTGAGGCCGAGACGAAGTTGACCATGATTGTATCGAGCAGACTTGAACTGAATTGCCTACTCCTGTTCCAAATTAAGTGTGCAGGGGTAGCAAGGAGTTAGGAAGGCGAATAGTATGTCTGCCTTCAGTGAAAGAGGGTTTGAATACAGGAACAAAGTCCTGCTGCAGCTGTCCAGGCCCTCTTTTTGAGATCACATGGGATTTATTTGCCCAAGTAAAGATTTACTCACGACGAAGGTTCACCAGACTGTTTGGAAAGGTGGGTTTGTTGTATGAGAAGAGACTGGGATAATTGAGGGCGAGAAAGGATCTAGTTGAAACATAGTTGTAACAGGGTTAAACAGATTGGATGCAGGGATAGTAGTTCTTCTGGCTTAATGGTCCAGAGCAAAGGTCATGGTCTCCCGATATGCAATAAGCACTTCAGAGTGAGATGAGAAATTTCTTCATTTGGAGAGTGGTGAACCTGACGCTTCTGTGGTGGAGAATCCATAGAGACCAAATTGCAGAATGTGTTTAGGAAATAATTAGATGTCTAGAGGCTATATAGGTGTCAACAAGTGTGTGGATGTATGGCATTAGATAGAGGATCAACCATGATCATGTTTGAATAGTGGTGCAGGCTTGATGGGCCAAATGGCCAGTTCTGCTCCTATTTTGTTTGAGTTTTAATCTTTTGTGTGACACCTTGTTGAATACCATTTTAGAAATCCCAAGTACCTTCCACTGCTTGGAGTCATTTTTGTTCTTTCGTTGGACATCACTAGCAAGGCCAGTTTTTGTAGCCCTTCTCAAATTGCTGCTAGACTGAGTAGCCCATTTCAGACCTAACTGTATTGCTGTGGCAGGAGTCATGTGAAGACAGACCAGAATAGCTGGTAGTTGTTACGTGGTCTCAATTGGGCCGACGTTTTATTCCAAATTTTCATTGAATTATAATTTTGTTTTTTGCTGTAGCGAGTTTTAAACTCATGCTCTTAGAACAATAAAACACAGAACTTTGAATGCTGGAGAACTAAAACAGACAAAAATAAATTGCTAGAGAAACTCCGGTCTGGCAGCATCTATGAAGAGAAAGTAGTTAACATTTCGAGTCCAGTGACTATGTTCTGACTATCTCCCTTGATGTTTAAGAGCATTACTATCAGTGAATCCCCCACTATTAACAACACTTGAGGTTACCATTGAGAACAAGCTGAACTGGACACAGTATATAAATATAAGTAGGTCAGAGTTAGGAATCCTGACTCCAAAGCCTGTCTACTATCTACAGACCTCAAGTCAGGAGTGTGATGAAATACTCCCTACTTCCCTGGGTGAGTGCAGCACCAACAGCACTTGAGAGGCTTGACACAGCCCAGGACAAAGCAACCCATGCTTGAAAAACCCATCTACCACATTGAACGTTCATTTCTTTCACCACCAGTACACAGTGGAGTAATGTGTACCATCTATAAAATGCACTGCAGTAAAGCACCAGGGTTACATTGACAGCACCTTTCAAACCCCATGACCTCTACCACCTAGAAAGAAAAGGGCAACAGATAAATGGAAATACCACCACCTCCAAGTTGCTCACCATCCTAACTGGGAACTGTATCACTGATCCTTCAGTGTCACTGGGTCAAAACCCTATAAAATCATTGAATAGTACAGTACAGCAGGTGATTGCTCTAGTTTGTGCTCTTTTGAACAACGTTGCAATTAATTCCACTTCTGTAGCATCACCCCATCCAATTGGTTCCACAATCCTGTAATTGTCTCTCAATCTATCTTTAATCCAGTGTGTTTTTTTTAATGGTAGACTACCAAATCTTTTATCGTTCACCCTTTTGGGAATTGCATTTCAAATCCTAAAGACAAGTTGCATTTTTATTTATGAAATAAAAGTTACTCCTGCTGTTGGCTCTGGTTCTTTGCCCTGACATGTCAAACATGTCCACTGGTTATTGAATGTTGATCCATGGAAATCATTTATTTTTGTTAATCTGTTAAAACCTTTCAAGCCTTTAAACAGTTATATCAAATTTCCTTTTTACTTGCTCTGCTCCAAGAGAACAACCCCAGCTTCTCTAGCCTATCCACATAACTACAATAACTTGGTTCCTTAAACATTCTATTAAATCAGTTGTGTTCACAAAAGGCTTTGTCCTTCCTAACCTGTGATGCCCAGAATTGATCGTTCATAGGCACTTTCGGAGGCCACTTGGCCTATTGTGCCTGCATCAACTTTCTGAAAAGACAGTAATTTTTTAATGTTTCTGTAGCTTTGATTGTGAACTGAAATAAGAAAATAATTGTTTTAAAAGCCAAGGATTGTTGAACGGCTGCTGCACTTTTAAAAAGTTACATGATGTTCATTATAAGTGCTGTTTACGCAGCTGTTGGTTTAAGCACTGGGGAAAGCCTAGTTACCAGACCAACTGGAGCCAGGGAGCTGTGTATAAATGAATATTTGGTCGGCAACAAGTCACTGATCAGACTGTGAAATGGTGACCATTTATTAATGACAAAGGTCTCCTGCGTGCCCACAACAATGTAATTGATTCCAAGGCATCTGAACATCTTGTGAATGTGAATGTTTGGGAGAGGCCATCAGATCCCTGAGGTGGAACAGAGTGCCCTTTTCTCTGCAATACAAGCCATCTCGAACATGACGAAAGCCAGATTTTGTCTCATTGGTTGCTGTAAGTTGTGGTTCTTAACCAGTAGGTCAGAGACTTCATTATGAGACACTGCCCTGAGCCTGTGTAAGCAAGTTGAAATTACCTGGAGAAGGAAGATCCAGGAGGTACATCCTGAGGAGCCAAAAAGACAATTTCATCAACCCTAGGAACCGGGCCCAGTGAACAGCCTTTCAAATCTTTCCATAACACCCGTTTTCTTTTCTGTTTGTGTGTGTGTGTGTGTGGATTTGTGGTGGTGGTAGCAGGGCTTAGGAGGGTTGCAGTTTTACCTGATTGTTATATGTTGACCGTTCATAATTGTTTACTTGTAGCTAGAGTATCTCAATTTGGAATAAATAATAATTCTTCTTAAGTATAGAAATCTCTACTGTGCTTTCTAACAACCCGGATCTAAAAGATGTATATTTGGAATTTTGCATACTTTATAAAATCCTTGATTTTTGTGATGTCTCCAGGAATAGCAGAGCTTGATTTCCACCACCCTACTCCACTGAGCTGTACTCCACCTTCGGTACAATCAGACCCTTTAACCGATAATGCTTCCTCAGCACTGACCCGCTAACATTGCAGTACTTACTTGACAACAGTGAGGGGCTGCTATCTGACTGACTCCGATAATGCGACGGTCCTTCGTTCCATCGATACGGCATTCCCTCAATGCTGACCCACCTTCTGGCAGCGCAGTGCTCCCTCAATCCCTACCTTTGCCCTCCCCACCTCGGCTTCAGCCCAGGCCCAGATCTTTGCACTGTGTATGGTTTCTTCAAAGAAGGATCTTCCATTGTTTCAGCAATCTGTTAGTGGTCATGCATGTGGTTGGCTGGTGACAAGAATCATTGTACTCTAATCCTGATGTGTTTGTTTGTCTCTTTTCCCATAGGTGCCCATGGCTCAGCCAGGCCTACTCACCCGCCATTCCTATCTACAATGTTATCATCTTTCTGTTTGTGCTAGCAAACTTCAGCATGGCCACATTCATGGACCCTGGCATCTTCCCAAGAGGTGAGTCTCTGCAACCCTGTTCCCATTTGATAGCCACTGCTGTCCTCCATATGAGCCAAAGGGTTCAATTCCGAGACCAGGATAAGTAGAATTGTAGATATTTTCTAATCAACCCTGATCGGAGGTTCTGACAATCCTCTAGAACAGATGGAATTTGAACCCATGCCTCTTGGTTTAGAAGTAGCAACGTTACCATTGCACCAGAAGAGCCCATGATTTTAAATAAAAGAATTGTTTTGAGATCCACTGTACGGCTGGATTTCTTTTTTTAAATCCTCTCCAAGTCACCATGTTACTAATTAAAAACAATTATTAAGCATTACCCACCAGGTGTGGGCGGGATAAAAAGAAATCGGGTGTACAGCGGATCTCAAAATGATTTTTTAAAATTTAAAACCATGGGCTCTTGTGCAGTGGTAATGTCCCTAGCTCTAAACCAAGAGGCCGTAGGTTGAATTGTGTATTAGGTTTAGAGGAGAGCTGACCAAGTTATTTTAAGATGATTGAATCAGTTGGAGACACCAACAGTGATATTGTGGAGGAGAATTTCCTGGAGTTTGTACGTGACTGGTATTTTGGAAGAATACGTTGAGGGACCAACCAGAAAACAGGCTGTTCTTGACTAGATACTATGCAATGTGTGTGATCTCTTGGTGAAGAGTGACCATAATATTCTTCTTTAAAGTGGACAGTGAAAGAGTCACATTCAAAACTAGGGTCCTGAACCTAAATAAAAGGAACTATGAGGGTATGAGGCATGAGTTGGTGAGGATGGATTGGGGAGCCCTTATTAACAGAGGTAACAGTGGCGAGGCAGCATTTGAAGAACATTTTTATGTTTTACAATAATTATTCATTCGTTTCTGGTGCAAAAACAAAATGGGAAAAGTGGCTTAATCATGTCTTACAAAATAAATTAGAGGATGGTATTAGATCCAAAGAAGAGACAAAGAAAATTGTCAGAAAAAGCATCAATTTAGAATTCAAAGAGAATGCAAAGTTTGATCAAGACTGAGGAAAATAGAGTATGAGCTTAAAATTGCAAAGAATATAGAAACTTTTAAAATTAGTTTTTATAAATACATGAAGAGACAAAAATTAGTAAAGGCAGATATAGGTCCTTTACAGTCATAAATCCAGGAACTATAATGGGGAACAAAGAAATGGCAGAAAAAATGAACACTAGTTACAAGAAAATAGTGCAAGGGAATTAATGGTGTTAAAAGCTGATAAATCACTAGGGCTTTGTAATCTTTGATCCAGAGTACCAAGGGAAGAAACCTGGAACTATTTGATGCATTGGTGGTCATCTTCCAAAATTCTGTGGCCTCTAGCGCAGTTCTGGCAAATGTAATTCCAGCATGTATAAAGGGAGGGAGAGTTTAAAAAAACACTAAGAACAGTTAGCCTAACGTGCGTAGTGGGGAAAATAGTAGAATCGGTTATAAAAGATGTGATAACGGAACACATGGAGAGTATTAACAGAATTGAACAAAGCGAGCAAGGATCCAGGGAAGGCAAATGCTTAACCAAATCTTCTGGAGTTTTTTTGAGGATGTAATAGTAGAAGAAATAAAGGAGAACCAGTAGATGTGTATTTGGATTTTCATAACACTTTAAATAAAGTTCCACGTGAAAGGCATGTGATCACTTGTAAAGCACATGGGGTGGGGGTAACATATTGGCATGGATTGAGAATTGGTTGCCTGACAGGTAACCAAGTTAGAATAGGACCTTTGGAAAGTCAAAATACAGTCCCATCAGAGTTTGGCCAAGTTTCTAGAATTCTTTGAAGATGTAACTAGCAAGTGGATGTAGTATATCTGGACTTCCAGAAACCATTTAAGGTGCCATCAAAACGTTGGTACACAAGATAAGATCACATGGGGTTTGGGGTAATTTATTAGCTAGGATAGAGAATTGGCTAACCAACACATAGCAGAGTTAGAAAGGTGGGTGTTCTGGTTGGCAAGATGTAGCTCATGGGCTGCCATAAGGTTTGGTCTTCAGGCCTTATTTAAAGTCTGTATTAATGACTTGGATGCGGGGATCTTCAAATGACACTGAAATAGATGGGAAAGTCAGTTACAATGAAGAAGTAAGAAATTTACAAATGGATGGGTTAGGTAAATGGGCCAAAATTTGGCAGATGGAGGTTAATGTGGATAAATATGAAGTTATCCATTTTGCTTGAAGGAATAGAAAGACGATACCTTCTTATCTAAATGGGCAGAAACTTCAGTGTTTCAGTGCAGAGGGATCTGGGTGTCCTCATGTATGAATCACAGAAAACTGTAATGCAGGTAAAGCAGGTAATAAGGAAGGCAAAAGAAGTTTTGGTACTTATTGCTAAATGAATAGAGTAGAAAAATAAAGTAAATGAAGGAAAGTAAATAAAATAAATGTGCAAGGCATTAGTAAGACTGTACCTGAAGTATTGTGTACAAATCTGGTCCCTTTACTTGAGAAGGGATGCAGTTGCTTTGGAGGCAGTTCAGAGGAGGTTCACCAGTTTCATTCCAGAGGTGAAAGGTTTGTCTTATGAATGAGATTGAGCAGTTTAGGCGTGTGCTTTCTGGAGTTTAGAAGAAGGAGAGGAGATCTGATTGAGATATAAAATGCTAAAAGGGATTGACAAAATAGAATGTTTCCTTGTGTGGCAATCTAGAATAAGAGGTCATCATTTTAGGATAAGTGATAGCAGATTTAAAGGAGAGACGAGAAATTATTTTTCTCAAAGGGTCCTGAATCTGTGGAATTCACCGCTTGAGTGTGGTGAATGCAGGGATATTGAATAAATTGAAGGAGGAAATTTTGATTTTTAACTAGTGATGGGTTAAAGAGTTGTGGAGAGTGGACAGGAAAGTGTAGTTGAGGTGAATTATTTACTCCTGTTAGTTCTTGTGTTCTTAGAAATTTGGTCTTTTTCTGGGTGGCAGGAAGTGACTAGTCGGGTACATGCTTGAGCCCCAGCTATTCACAATATATCTAAATGACCTGGATGAAAGAACCAGAAGCAACATTTCCAGTTTAGCAATAACATAACTGGGGAGGATTGTAGTTTAAAGGTGGATGCAAAGAGGCTTGAAGGTGATTTTAAATAAGTTGAGTGAATAGACAAGCACACGGCAGATGCTGTACAACGTGGCTAAAATTGTAGGTCTGTATATTCGATGTGAAGAACAGAAAAGCAGAATATTATTTAAATGATATTTTGGGAAATTTGGATGTACAAATGGATCTGGGTGTCATTGAAAACAGTAAATAACATTAGACAAGTAGCTGCAGCAAGCAGCTTGGAAGGCAAATTGTTTTTTGGCTTTCATTGCAGGAGGATTTGAGTTTAGAAGTAGGGATGTCTTGCTGCAGTTGTACAAGGCCTTGGTGAGATCACACTTGAAGTGTTGCAGCAGTTTTCATCTTCTTGAGAAAGGAGATGCTTACCAAGAAGGCAGTGGAATGGAGGAGAGAGGAGGTTCACTAGGCTGATACTGAAGATGGCAGGACTGTCATGTCAGGAGAGATTGGTTTGACTGGGCCTGTATTTGCTAGAGTTTGAAAGAACGAGAAATGGATTAAATTCGAACAGGACTGGACAGACTAGATGCAGGGAGGAATTGGTTTTCCTGGTTGTGGAGTTCTGAACCAGGGTCACAGTCTGAGGATACTGGGTATGCCATTTAAGGCTGAGACATTTTTTCTCACAATAGTGAGCCTGTAGGATTCTCTGTCACTGAATATATTCTAAATAGAGATTGATAAATCTTTATTTGTTAAAGGCATCGAGGGATATGGGGAAAATGTTCTAGGGGATCAGCCATAATTATACTGAATGGTGGAGCAGGCTCAAAGAGTTGATGACACCCTCCCACTCCTAGTTCCTATATTTCTAATCTCTGGTACGATGGAGGACAGAATCCCAAAATGAGAGCCAGACCATTCAGAGATGATGTTAGAAAGTATTTTTTTTCACAGAATAGCGCAGTAAGACTTTTTGGTCATTCGGAAATCCTATAACTGAGATGGGTAGATTTTTGTTAGGGAAGAATATTAAAGGTTATTGAATTGAGACATGTGGGCAGAGCTCAGATCCACAAAGCCAATGTCTAATCAAATAACAGATCAGGTTCAAGGGGCTGAATGGGCCTTCTGCTGTTCATATGGGATAAGTTGGAGATGGGGTTGAATGAGTCATTCTTGTCGTATGCTCCCCTAAATACAAAAGCATGCATTTAAGTTAAATCGGACGATAGAACTGATGTTAGAGTTGGGGGACAATTGTTCAGCATTGTATACCTGGCAAGGAGCCTTGAACCACAGGGAGCATCAGTTGGATACAGTTTAGCAAGACCAGTTGCATAAACAAGACTTTGTATTTCCTTGAGTTTGGATGATCAAGGTATTAACTGACTGAGGTGTGCGTGATCAGAAAATGACCCCACCTCACTGGATACACAAGATACTTATCTGCAAACTAGAGATAGTTGGATCAGCTTTCATGTCACGTAAGGAAACACAGCAGTCAATTTGTGGACAGCAAGCTCCCGAAAACCAGCTTCCAATCAACACCTCGTTTTGCAGCATGAGCCATGTGTGGGAGGAAGTAACAGATGTGGACAAAACCATGGAAATTTGAGTGCATGTCACTTAGCTGATTGAATTCTCCACTGCCTCATGCCAATGCCATCTCTGTGACTGTTAACAGTCCAAGCAACTTGTGCCTGCCATCAACTGCACCTTTTGGACAATGAGAATTCACATTGGCAGGCCTAAAACACTGCCTACACACATCCACACTTGTGCCCACACGCTTACATGCACATTATTACCAAAGCTCATGGGTCCTCTGCTGCGGTTTAGTGATATACAAAAAGTAATTGAGAGGTCCAATCTCCCTTTGAATTTGTCAGTGGATAGAGTGAAATGAAATTAAAGGTGGGAACAAGGATAGGAACAAGAATGATACATAAACGCTGATATGGACAGGCTGGATTAGTCAGATAATTTGACAACATGCCATATAACAAGATTATAAACTGTTCAGCTGAGGAGGAGAAAGTGAAAGAGAGTCAATGAAGTGAGGAAACTATGGTGAACACCCAAGGCTTCAAGTTTCACCAGTTTCCCAGTCTAACTTTGCCAATTGTCATATAAACTTTCTCTCCCTCCCCCTGTCCCCCTTATACATATCCATCACCCTCTCTCCCCTTGCCAACTCCTGTGTGTCTGTGTCTGTCTTACCCTCCCCCGTCCTCACGCTCTTCTGGCACTTTGCTCCCGCCTCACTCTGTCTGCTCTCTCTGCCTCCTCTTGTCAGCTGATGAAGATGAAGATAAAGATGATGATTTTCGGGCTCCGCTCTATAAGAATGTAGAGATCAAAGGCATTCAAGTCCGGATGAAATGGTGCTCAACTTGCCGATTCTACCGCCCACCCCGGTGTTCGCACTGCAGCGTCTGTGACAACTGCGTGGAGGTACGAGTGGCTCACCTCTCTTGTTTTGATCCTTGATAAAAAAAACAAAGAACTGTGGGGATGCTGGAAATTTGAAACAAAAAAAAATTGCTATAGAAACTCAGCAGGTCTGGCAGCATCTGTGAAGAGAAGGCAGAGTCAACATTTCAGAACACCATCTTCAGAAGAAAGGTCACTGGACCTAAAACGTTGACTTTTCCTCTCCACACATGCAGCCAGATCTAGTGAGTTTTTCCAGCAATTTCTGTATTTGTTTCAACCCCCCCCCTTTCCCTGCCAGTCCTGACTCTAACCCGGAGCACAAGCTCACATAAGCACATATTTATGTTGCCGACATCCAGGCAGGAAATCAATTTAATCTATCTCACTTCCCTCCCCACCCATTCATCTTCCCATCCCCCAACTCTGTGGGCAAATGTATCAAATTTGATATGTACCTTACCCAACTCCCAGCCCAGACAGCAACCTGAACTTAGTATGGAGCAGTGTTTCTCTTTTGAGGCAAAAAAAGCTATTAACATTTCTTTAAATTGGTATTTCTTTAAATACACATTGGTAGCCACCTCATCCATTGGCCAAGTCAAAGTTGAATACTTATGCACTTAGGAATGGGGAAATGTGTTCAGTGATGCATCATCGCTTTCCATGGTTCTCAAAATGATGGGCTTCATTCAGCCTATTTATGTTGACGCATTTAACGTGGAGTTAATTATTTGGGTTGTAGAGTGAAGCAAGTGATTAGCTTGTGTGAAATTTTAATTCTAGACTGGTTTGTCTTTCTCTGTCCTCACTCTGTCCTTCCCAGGAGTTTGACCATCACTGTCCTTGGGTGAACAATTGCATTGGGCGAAGGAACTACCGTTACTTCTTCCTGTTCCTCCTCTCTCTTACCACCCATATCATCGGGGTCTTCGGCTTTGGCCTCCTTTATGTGCTCAACCATGTGAATAAATTGTCTGATGTGCACACTGCTGTCACGTATCCTTGCTGTGTTTTCCCCAGGGCTTTGGGATGGGTTTACAATATATGCAGGAAAGCAGTATGCCCAAAGTTGCTACTTCTCATTTCCTCTCTGCTGCAGAGATGCTGGGTATATCTGGTGACTGAGCGAGTGTTTGACAGTGTTTGCTGTTCACGTATTTAGACAGATTCCCCTTCCTGGACCTCTGCACACTTCCCTCCCAAGAGTCCAGCATTCCCTAGTAGTGACAGGGAGTAGAAAATGGCTCTTGCATTTGGGTTCCAGCTTAACTATCTCAATCACTATCCAGCCTTTAGCTACCATGCGGTTACAATCAGTAGGAGCAGGGGAGGCCTGTTTGGCCTGCACTACAGCAGCATTGGTGTACTATCCAGTAATTTTTCGAATAGTACAATTCAAATTGGGGTATGAGAATTCTGGGAGCTTAATCTGCATATCTAAGCATTATGACTTCAATTTGCTGCAGCCCTTATTTTAATGAAGTGTGGGTTTGTAACAGCATTTAAAGCAGGTTTGGAAGAGCCGGAGATTTCGAAGTCACATTTAGTCACCGTCCAGGTTTCACCTTGTACAAGACTAACAATTTACTGTATTTAAAATTGAATGTAAATAGTTGAGCATGCTGGCTCCACCTAGCAGCAGGCATGTGCAACATCCTGTTTAAAAAAAGTCTTCTCCTCTGAGTACACTCTCAATTCTCTGCAATCCCAGTGCCTGCTCCGCTGTTGATGAGAAAAGCCACCTTTCCACAACTCTGCCAGGGGCTGAGGTGCCTGAGAGTGAAGAGTCAGTGTTTGATCTTCATTTGCCCATCAGAGAGGGGAAAGGCATTCAGCCCCTCGAGTCTTCTGCCATTCAGTAGGGTCATGAATGATATCTCTTCTAACTGTGTCTGACTCAAAAGCCTTTGGGCCTTTGCCCTATATCCTTCAGATTTTTGTTAGCCAAATGTATTATCAATCTCGCATTTGAAATTAACCAGAAGAGAATTTCAAACTACTACTTCCCTTTGTGTGTCAAAGTGCTTCCTCCTTTCACACCTGAAGGTTCTGGCTTGAGTTTTTTTATACTCTGCAATTGTTCATCGGTGCCACAACCAAGAAACAGAAATATTTTTTCTATCTATATTACCTGTTTCCCTCAGTATCTTGGAAACTTTGATTAATCACCCTGATCTTTTTAGGTACTTAATTAGCCCTAGAAAAGCCTTAGTGGATTCATTGGTGTTTATCTTCCAAGATGCTGTAGACTCTGGAATAGTTCCTACGGACTGGGGAATAGCTAACGTAACCCAACTATTTAAAAAGGAGTAGAGAAAACGGTTATAGGCTAGTTAGCCTGTCATCTGTAGTAGGGAAAGTGCTGGAGTCTATTATAAAAGACATAATAGCAAAGCACTTGGAAACAGTGAAAGGATGGGATAGAGTCAACATGAGTGTACAGAAGGGAAATCATATTTGACAAATCTACTGGGATTTTTCAAGAATGCAACTGAAATTGTTAAGAGTGGATGTGGTTTACATAGACTTTCAGAAGCCTTTTGACGAGGCCCCACATAGATGAGCATGTAAATTTCAAGATCGTGGGATTGGAGCTCATGTACTGACGTGGATAGAGAATTGATTGGCAGACAGGAAACAGGAGTTATTGGATCTTTTACCAAGTGGCAGACAACGAATATTAAGGTACTTCAGCGATCAGTGCTCGGATCCCAGCTCTTCGCAATATATATGATTTGATTTCGAGGAGAGACCTAAATGGAATATCTCCCAAATTTGCAGATGAGACAAAGCTAGTGAGTTGAGGAGGCTGCAGAGATGCTTCAGTGTGATTTGGACAAGTTGAGTGAGTGGACAGGTGCATGGCAGATGACATAATGTGGATAAATGTGAGGTTATCCACTTTGGTAACCAGACCAGAAAGGCAGATTATTACCTGAACAGTGATAGATTGAGAAAGGGGCGGTGCAGTGAGGTGACCTTGTACACCAGTCACTGAAAGTAAGCATGCAGATGCAGCAGGCAGTAAAGAAGACAAATGGTATGTTGGCCTTCGTAGCAGGAGACCTTCATAGTGAGAGGATTCGAGTACATGAAGGATTTCTTGCTGCAGTTCTACAGGATTTTGATAAGAGCACATCTGGCACAGTGAGTGCAGAGTTTTGACAAAGATCTGTAGTTTGGGTTGTGGGTGAGGTTGCCGAGCTGTCTTGTTCTTGTTCAGGCATTTCATCACTGTGCTAGGTGACATCGTCAGTGGTACCATACACAAACCCATACAGATTAAAACTGGAAATGACTCGACTCATCATAACAGACCAAACAGTATAAATTCCAAGTTGAGTAGAATAACACCGCTTTATCGGAGGCTCCACTGATGATGTCACCTAGCACGATGACGAAACGTCTGAGAGAGAACAAGCCAGCTCGGCGAGTAAGTCAACAGCCTCACAATGAGTGCAGTTTTAGAGTCATGGAGTCATACTGCATGGAAACAGACATTTCGGTCCAACTGGTCCACGCTGACCATGTTCCCAAACTAAATTAATTCCACTTGCTGGCATTTGGCCCATATCCGTCCAAACTTTCCTATTCATGTACTTATCCAAATGTCTTTTAAACGTCGTAAATGTACCTGCATCCACCACTTCCTCTGGAAGTTCATTCAACACACAAACCACCCTCTTGTGTTTTTTTAAAAAGAAGTTACTCCTCATCCTTTTTGAATCTTTCTCCTCTCACCTTAAAAATATGCCCACTAGTTTTGAATTCCCCCACCTTAGGGAAAAGACACTTGCAAATCACCTTATCTATGCTTCTATGAACTTCAATAAGGTCATTTGCTCAAACTCCTTTCTAAAAAGTCCCAGCCTATTTTTAGAACTCAAACCCTCCATTCCAGCAACATCCTGGTAAATCTCTTCTGAGTCCTCTCCAGTTTCATGATGTCCTCTGTATAACGGGGCAACCAGAACTACACAGTACTCCAGAAAATGCCTCACCAACATACTCCACAAACTTAACATGACATCACAGCTCCTATACTCAAAGATCTGAGCAACGAAGACAAGCATGCTAAATGCCTTCTTAACTACACTGTCTGCCTGTGGTGCAAATTTCAAAGAATTATGTACCTGAGCCCACTTTCTACAACACTACCCAGGCCCCTACCATTAACTGTAGAAGTCCTGCACTTGTTTGTTTTACCAAAATGCAGTACCTCGCTTTATCCAAATTTATCCATATTTATCCAAATTAAACTCCATCTGCCAATCCTCAGCTTGATGGACAAGTTGTCTCTGTTCAGAACAATGGGCAGCAAGCTCCTCCCACTCATTCCAAACATTTGCATCCTACAAAAATGGCCTGCCCAATGCCCCAAAAAATATAGTGGACGTGCCACAAGGCCTGTCACTGGGAGGAAGCCTGGAGCTGTCGTCACATTTGATGCAAATGGGGCAACTGGAGATTGTTAAGCAGGGTTTTCGACTGACATGATGTCCACGGAACCACTACGCCATCCACTGCATGTCCTCTGTTCCACAGATTCTCACCATTTGTGAATCCAATAAGCCAGAGACTGACTACCAGACCTGAGGAAGGATGTTCTGGCTATGGAGGGAGTGCAACAGAAGTTTACCAGACTGAGTCCTGGGATGGTAGGACTGATGAATGAAGACGGACTGAACCAGTTAGGACAATGTGCACTGGGCGTTTGAAGAATGAGGGGGATATTATAGAAACCCATAAAATTCAAACAGGCAGAGACCAAGTAAACACAGGAAGGATGTTCCCAGTGACTGGGGAATCCAGAACTGGGAATCACAGTTTTAGTTTAACAGAGCAGGCATTTAGGATTGAGAAGAAAAGAAATTTCTTTATCCAGGTAATAGTGAATCTGTGGAATTCTCTACCACAGAAAGCTGTTGAGTCCAAAGCATTGAATGTTTTTGAGAAGGAAATAGATATAGTTCTTAGGTTTTAGGCATTAAAGGGTATACGGTGAAAGTGGGAACAGAGGACTGAGTTGGATTATAGGCTATGACCATACAAAATTGCAGAGCAGGCTCATAGTGTTGAATGGCCTACTCCTATCTTCTCTGTTTCTCATACAAAATAATACAACTGTAGTTCCTGTAATTCTTCCTTATAACCCCCTTTTGAGGTCCAGGTAGCATTCTGGTAGTCTATAACCACACTTCCAAGCCCGGTATATAATTCCAAAGTGGTGTGATCTAACCGAGGCTTTTCCCCCTCGTCTGTTCCCTATGTCACTGGATTTGATATCCAAGTCCCCTTTCTCCACGCACCAAACGGAGCCAAATATGCAAGTGTTGATATCCTTCCTCCTTTGTGGCGTTTAACTTCTTGGATGATGGGTGGAACATACAGAAACCCCCAGGGCAGGTTTTTGAACAGCCTTTCTACACTTGTCTGTATATCGATCTTTTCCTTGACTCCACCAATGTAGTATGGCAGTCATGTGTGTGGCAGGCTTGTTCTTCATTCCTGTGGCTGGTCTGACTGGATTCCACATCGTGCTGGTCGCGAGGGGACGGACAACCAATGAGCAGGTAAAATATCTGTGTTGTCTGTCTCTTAGAAATAGTCCTCCACCTCATGCCGCATTGGGCCCTGGTGCACCATCTTTCTGTGTGAGATTCAGGCTAGTGAATCTATTCTGAGAAAGGTATCAAAGGAAAAGAATTTGATTGAGTATGTACTCTTGAACTGTAGAGATCAGAAATTAACCACAAGCAACTGTCATGCTGATTTACCATGAGTATTAGCATGGGTTGATGGATGGGAAAGAGGGGAAATGGGCATGCTGCCCCCAACTGTGCAATTTTGTAGCTTTTGGAGACTTGAGCCCTAAATGCAGGCCAACACACTTGGCTCAGTACCAAGGTCTGCTGCATTGTTGGAAAGTGCTGCATTTAAGAGGGAAGCACTATCGCTCATCTGGGGAGGTCACAAAAACATGGTCTTTTAAGGTACAATAATTTCCGAGGGGAAATTTTAGAAACTGATAAAAGGTATTAAGTGGAACAGAATTTTGTCATGGTATTTTCATTAACTTGATATTTGAGAAATTGATCATTCAGCCCCTCTGCCACTCTAGATCATGGCTGATCGTCCATCTGAATGCCATGTTCCCATGTTATCCCCATATACATTCATATTAGTAACTAGAAGTCTATAGATCTCCATGTCCAGCACTTAATGATTGAACTTGCACAGTCTTCTGGGATAGAGATTTCCAAAGATTTGCCACCTCTGAGTGGAAAGTTTTCTCCTAATTGCAATCCTAAAAGATCTATCTTGCATTCTAAGACTGTGTCCTCACCCAGGTTCTAGAACCCACTGCCAGGGAAGCATCCCTTCTGCATCTAAGGTATCTATCGCTTTAAAAATCCTGTTTCTGAAATTGACTCTCGTTCTCCTAAATTGCGAAGAATATAGGCCCCAATCTCCTTAATCTCTCCTCAGTTGCACCATCCTAGGAATCAGTCTGGTTCCCCGTATGGCAAGTATATCCTTCCACGAGAAGGGGATTGGAACTGCAAAGAGTACTCCAGATGCTGTCCCTTAGTGTTCCATACTATTGAAGGAAATCATCTTCTGTACTTAAAATCCTCTTGTGATAAATGCTAATATAAAGTTTATTTTCTGAATTTCTTGGTGCACCTCCATGCGAGATTTCAGAGACATGTGAACAAGAATACATTGGTCTGTTTGGACATCAACACTTTTTCCAATCTCTGTCCATTTAAAAAATACTACACACCTCCAATCCTACCAAATTGGACAACCTGGCACTTTTCCACATTACAGTATATTCCATCTGACATGCTCATACCCACAAAGTCTGCTTAAATAGCTTGAAGTCTCTCTTTATCCCCTCAACTCACTTTCCTACCTAGTTTTTTATCATTTTCAAACTTGGAAATATTACAATTGACCCCCAGATTCAAATCAGTGATCTTGTTTATGAATAGCAGGATCAAAAGGAATAGTTGGGGCTAAGCAGTAGATCAGCCATGATATAACTAAATAGCACAACGGGCTCATGAAGGGGCTAAATGGACCTTCTGTTGCTGTGTAAGATCCTCAAGAAGAGTTTGAGTAAATCTTGTGCTTCCCTCAAAGGGGCTGAATGGGGATCCTTCTGTTCCTGTATGACAAGCTGGAGAACGGACCTCCAGTTCCTGTGTAACAGGCTGAAGAATGGGCCTCCTCCTGTTCCTTTGGTGAATCAGTGCCAAGATGGCAAATAATTTAGGATTATCAGTGGTAAGAAACTGTGAGAAATGTTACATGGCTTGATGAGAGCAGAATGACTGACTAGAGTCTGAGAGTTGTCAGCGGGTTTTGGTGTATGCGTTCTTGGTCACTTTTTTTTCTGTTGTGTGCTCTTTCTGCACTGTGGAAGCAGCAGGATTTATGGTCTAATGAAGAGGAGGCATTTTGGAAAGAGGCCGGGTTTGGGATTAATCCAGTCCATTGTAACAGAAGACCAAGTAATGATGGGGAAGTGGAGAGAAACCAAATGGACAAGAGTTGAGGGGTCACAACTGTCCCAGAAGTCCAGTTCATTTTGTCTGATTTATCTGTGCATGTTTCCACAACAAAATGCCTTTCCCTTCTTTTAGGTTACAGGGAAATTCCGAGGTGGAGTGAATCCCTTCACACAGGGCTGTTGGATGAATATCTCATATGTCCTCTGCAGCTCACAATCACCCAGGTAAGAAACTGCTATGGTGTCTCTTTTTCCCCCAGAATCTACTAACCCTCTGTTCAAGTTCACTATTCCACCTCACTAAAACCTGCTGTGCTCTATCAAATTACTACCAAATACATAGTTTGTATTCCGCACGTAAAAAAATGACTTGTATTTTTATGGTGCCGAACATATATTCAGGACTCTCCCAGTGCACTCTGCAGGTTTTGAATGTATTATAGGAGAAGCAGCATGAGTTAACCATCTTTACATCCACTGGAAAGGATAGGAAGTTTAATGTCTCATGCCAAAAGATGGCACCTGCAGCAGTGCTGCATTATTATTGATGCTCTGCCAGAGTACTGCTGCCTCGGTATTGACTGCCCAGCATGAGAGCGCCCCCTCAGTACAGACCCTCTGACAGTGCGGCACCTCCTCAGGGCTGACCCTTTGATAGTGCACCAACCTGATCTCCACAGTGCAGTGAGATTCTCCACTGAAGCCAATGTTTCCATTTTGAGGCCGTTCCTTCGGGATGGGGTTGGTTTGACCAGTTGGCTTGGCTTGTGATACTGAATAATGCCAACAAAGTGGGTTTAATTCCCACATCAGGTGAGGTTATCATGAAGGATACTCCTCCTCAACCTCTCCCATCACCTGAGGCGTGGTGACCCTCAGGTTAAACCACCACCTGTCATCTGTTTAAGGAGAGAGCAACCCAATGGTCTGCTAGGGCTATGGAGACTTTACCCTTACCTTTTTACATTCATTCAGGTACATCAGCCGAGAGAGGAGGGAGTTCATTACTCCTGTCCAGACTCCCTTCTTGCGTCCCTTGGTTTCGGACACTGAGGTCACCATGAAGCTGATGGACAATGGCATTCAAACAAATCTCAAGAGAACACGGGTAAGCATATCGGGCAAGCTGATATAGAGGAGGGGAGGAACCACTTTGTCAGCTTGTGACTCTGGAATCTGATGCATGTGATGGAGTGACACTGGGGCATGGGATATCAGGGAGAATGGCATGGGTTGACTTGGGTGCTGGCATGTGACAGTGGAGTGAGGGCTGGCACTGAGATGAAGGACAACGTGGTGATATTGGCAAGTACCACAAAACTAACAGAGATTGCCACTACCGCTTTAAGATCATTTTGTTGAGTCGATGTTTAACACTTCAATTTTGGTGAAATAACTCTCGGTTTCTGTTCTCCTTTACAGTCCAAAGGAAGTCTGGAAGTTATGGAAAGCCAGTCAGCTGATGCTGAACCCCCTCCTCCACCTAAACCTGATTTACACCGTTACTCAGGCCTCAGGGCACACTTGTCTCTGGCAACAAACGAGGGTGAGTGGACAATCCCCTTTACACCCCGTGGTGTCGAGTGTGCATGCTGCACTTTTCACATAATAAGGGGACAAAGTTTAGGGAATCTCGCATGTGTTTGGAGGGGCTGAATCCTGGGACTGCCTCTGCCTTCACCCTGCTTATGTGCAGCCACGTTTATCATTCTGGGAGACGTGCACAGGAGGAAGTGTTGAACAGCTGACGGTAACATTTTCTGGCTCCCACTCTGGCATCTCGCTGCCCTGAGTGTCAGGATATAATTTATGGCACTGAGGGCCAGTTGATTTTGGTGTTCTGAATGGATCAGTCTGCGAGGGGGGTAGATGTTGTGAAAGGTTAGGTGAGGGTGGAAAAGGGCATCCAGGGTTGCACCAGGAATTGGATTTTTAACCGCACATATATAAATTGGTGCCACTGCTGTTCTTAGAGGCAGATGCATGTGAGCTTTCCCTCACAGCTCACCATTGACCAGAGTATTTTTAATCTCTTCCCCATCTTTCTCCCACTGCTATCCTGGTGCAGAGAGTAACTTGCTGAACAGAATGGACAACCCACCGACACCCACTATGTACAAGTACAGGCCAGCTTACAACAGCCCAGGGCGCAACCATGCTGTGCTCACGCACTCCACCAGTGAAAAGGTATGTTTTCTCCCATCCTGCAGCCACTAGCTTGTCACTTTTGAACTGCATTGGGTCTCCTGCTCTGTGGTAATGTTTATGCTGTTCGTGTTCATCTTCCATTCCCACTTTACTACTACTACCACCACCACCACCACCCCTTCCCCCAACCCACCTGACAAATCCACCCTGCATCTCCTCACTACAACTCACTCTCATTGACATATCTTTGATTCTTTTCCCCTTTTATGGTTTATCTAGCTTCCTTAAACACACCAGGACCCTTTGTCTTGGCCATTTCCTGTGGGAAAGAGTTCTGCATTCTCCCCACTCTCTGGGTGATAAAGTTTCTTGTGAATTGCTAATTGGATTTCATATCCTGCTCATCGTACCTATGCTGACTCTGAGATCAGTTATTCTCTCTTCCACTGTTATCTTTCCCTCCAGATCTGCCAGAGCTTGTGTTTCAAGTATTTATTTGTGACAATCTTACATTTGAAGGCTCCTAATACAGCTATCTCTCTCAAACTGAAACATCTTTTCTACCTGATCAAACCCTTTCCTAATATAAAATTTTAATGCACAGATCACCCTCTGCTTTATTTTGCGGGGGAAAAGAATTCCAGTTTCTTTTATATTTTCATGATAGTTACAACCTGTTATCCTTTCAAAACTTTATTGCTCCTTTTCTGTGGCCCAATTTTGGCAGGGAAGGGAATGGCATAGTATTGTTGTTTCTGCACTAGTAATCCAGAGACCCAGATAATGCTCTGGGGACTTGGTTTTGAATCCCACCATGGCACCTGAGCAAGAGATGTGAACAGAATTTGAATTCAACACACACAATCTAGAACTAAAAATCAAATGACACTTTTCAGATGGCATTCAATAAGACCTCACATAAGATATTAGCATTTAAAATGTACATGGGATTTGAAGAATAGTATTGAAATGGATAAAGAACTAGCTGGCAGATGGGAAATGGAGAGTGGGTTGGTGGGACTCGGAGAGCAGTCTGAGGCTGGTACAGTTGAGAGAGGAACAAGTTAAATTGTCAAGGCAGGCAAGAGCAAGGCAGAAAATGAACTAAGACTGATAAATTTAACTGCATTTATTTCAATGCAAGAGACCTGATGGGTAAGGCAGATGAACTCCTGGCATGGTTGGAAGCATAGGACTGGGATATCACAGCTATTACAGAAACGTGTCTCAGGGAAGGGCAAGGCTGGCAGCTTAATGTTCCCTATTATACTTGCTACAGGAAGGAGAGAAAGTGGGGAAAAGAGAGGAAGGGGAGTGGCATCTTTGTTTAGGAATAAAATTACAACTGTACTTAGGATATTTGTGGGAGCATGTTCAGTGAAGTTATTTGGCTGGAACTGAGGAATAAGAAAGGGATGATCACCTTATTGGGATTGCTTAGGCATATTTGGCTTCCCAGTAGTCAACAGGAGATTGGGAAGCAAATTTTTAAGGAGATCTCCAATATCCTGTAAGAATAATAGGGTTGCAATAGTTTGGGATTTTAACATCTCCAAGCATAGACTGGGGCTGCCATAATGTTAAGGGCTTGGGTGGAGAGGAATTTGTGTGTACAAGAAAATTTTCTTCTTCAGTATTTCGATGTACCTATGAGAGAATGAGCAAAACCGGACCTCGGGAAAGGGCAAGTTAATGAGGCATCAGTGGGGAGTACTTTGGGGCCAGTGGTCATAATTCTATTAGTTTTAAAGTAGTGATGGAAAAGGATAGACCAGATCTAAAAGTTAAAATTCTAAATTGGAATAAGGTCAATTTTGACAGTATTAGGCAAGAACTTTCAAAAGTTGATTTGGGAGAGGCTTTTAACAGGTAAAAAGACAGTTTGAAAGTGGGAGACCTTCAAAAATGAGATAAGGAGAGTCCAGAGGCAGTATGTTCCTGTTAGGGTGAAGGGCAAGGCTGGTAGGTGTAGGGAATGCTGGATGACTTGAGACATTGAAGTTCTGGTCAAGAAAAAGAAGGAAGTATGTGTCAGGTATGGACAGCTGGGATCGAGTGAATCCCTAGAGGAGTATAAGGGCGATTGGAGTATACCGATGAGGAAAATTAGAAGAGGGAAAAAAGGGGACATGAGAGAGCTTTGGCAAATAGGGTTAAGAAGAATCCAAAGAGATTCTACAAATACATTAAGGACAAACGAGTAACTAGGGAGAGAATGGAGCCCCTTTAAAGATCAACGAGGCCATGTATACATAAACCGCAGGAGATGGATAAGATACTAAACAATTATTTTGCATCCGTGTTTACAGTGAAGAAGGATATGGGAAACAGAAATAGTGATACCTTGACAAGTGTCCAGATTAAAGCAGGCGGTGCTGAATGTCTTAAATACATAAAGATGAATAAATCTCCAGGACCTGATCAGGTGTAGCCCAGAAGCTGTGGGAAGCTCGGGTGATGATTGTTAGGCCCCTGCTAAGATATTTGTATCATTGATAGTCACAGGTGAGGTGCTGGAAGACTGGAGGGTGGCAAATGTGGTGGTGTTATTTCAGAAAGGTGATAAGGAAAAGCCAGGGAACCATAGCCCAGTGAGCCTGACATCAGCAGTGGGTAAGTTTTTGGAAGGGATTCTAAGGTACAGGATATACATGTATTTGAAAAGGCAAGGACTGATTAGGGATTGTCAACATGCCTTTGTGCATTGGAAATAGTGTCTCACTAACTTGAGGTTTTTTTTTTGAAGAAGTGATGCAGATGATTGAAGGCAGAGTGTAGACGTTTTTCTATATGGACTTCAGTAAGATGTTCAACAGAGTTACTGATTAGCAAGGTTAGATCACATGGAATATAGGGGGAACTAGCCATTTGGATACAAAATTGGCTTGAAGGTAAGTGATAGAGGGTAGTGGAGGTGGGTTGTTTCACAAGATTGGAAGCCTGTGACCAGCAAGGATCACTGCTGAGTCCATTGCTTTTTGTCATTTATATAAATGATTTGAATGTGAATGAGAGGAATGGTCAATGAGTTTGCAGATGACACCAAAATTGGTGTTGCAGTAGACACCGAAGAAGGTTAACTGAGTTCAATGGGACAAACGGGCCGAGGCGTGGTAGATGGAATTTAATTTAAATAAATGTGATGTCTTGCATTTTGGTAAGGCAAATCAAGGCAGGATTTGTACACTTAATGTTAGGGTGGTAGGACCTGTTGCCAAACAGAGACCTTCGGTGAAAGAATGTTCTTTGAAAGTGGAGTCACAGGTAGAAAGGATAATGAAGAAAGCATTTGGTACATTTGCCTTCATTGGTCAGTGCGTTGAGCATAGGAATTGGGATATATTGTGGCTGTTGGAATACTCAATTCAATTCTGGTCATCCTGCTACAGGAAAAATACTGTTAAACTTAAAGGGTTCAGGAAAGATTTAGAAGGATGTTGCTGGGTTAGAGGGTTTGAGCTATGAGGAGAGGCTGAATAGGCTAGGACTATTTTCCCTGGAGTGTTGGAGGCTGAGCATGTCCTTAGATTTTTAAAATCATGAGGGGCATGGATAGGGTTAACAGTCAAGGTCTTTTCCCCAGGGTAGGTAAGTCCAAAACTAGAGGGGCATAGGTTTAAGGTAAGAGGGGCAAGATTTAAAAGGGTCCTATGGGGCAACTTTTTCACACACACAGGGCGGTGTGTGTACGGAATGAACTGCCAGAGGAAGTGGTGGAGGCTGGTACAATTACACCATTTAAAAGGCATCTGGATGGGGACATGAATAGGCAGGGTTTAGAGGGGTATGGGCAAATTGCTGGCAGATTAATTTAGGATATCTGGTTGGTATGGATGAGTTGGACTGAAGGGTCTGTTTCCCTGCTATACAACTCCATGACAACAAAGGCTAGTGGGAGTGTGAAGAGTGAGGAAGATGCAAAGATGCTTCAGTGTCATTTGACAAGTTGAGTGAGTGGGGAAATGCATGTGAGATGATTTATAATGTGGATAGGTTATGAAATTGTCATCAAAAGTGGAAAGCCTGATTATGATCTGAATGACTATAGATTGGAAAAGGGGGAAGATGCAACAAGTTCGGGGTGTCCTTGTGCCCTAATCACTGAAGGGTGTAAACCCGAAACGTCTACTCTCCTGCTCCTCTGATGCTGCCTGATCTGCTGTGTTCCTCCAGCTCCGCACTGTATTGACTCTGGCTCCAACATCTGCACTTATTGCTATCGCTGAGTAACTGAAAGTAAGCATGCAGATCCAGCGGGTGGTGAAGAAGGCAAATGTTTTGTCCTTCAAAGTGAGAAGATTTGAGTACAAGAGCAAGGATGTCTTGCTGCAGCTGTACAGGGCCTTGGTGCGACTGTGCCTACAGTATCATGTGCAGTTTTGGCCTCCTTATCTGAGGAAGCATGTTCTGGCTATGAAGGGAGGCTTACACAGATTTACCAGACTGATTCATGGAACAGCAGGACTGATGTACAAAGAATCTAGATCGAGTTCACTCAAGTTTGAGGAAGAACGTGGAGGGATCTTATAGAAACTCATAAAATTAAACTGGAAGAGACAGAGTAAATACAAGAAGGATGTTCTCAATGACTGGCAAGTCCAGAACAAGGGGTCACAGTTTTAGGATACAAGGTAGGCCATTTAAGACTGAAACGAAGGATGTGGAATTCTTTGCCACAAAGTGGATGAAATTACATATTGTTCTTTCAGTTCAAGGGATCAAAAGTTATGGGGCAAAAGTAGGATCAGGGTACTGAGTCAGTTTAACCATATTTGTATTAAAAGCCAGAGTGAGCTCAAAGGGCTGAACAGCTCACTCAAGTTCCTGTTTTCTGTGTTTCAATGTAAAACTTATGTCCTTCAAGAGGGAAATCTGCCATCGTTTCCTGGTTTGGCCTAAGAGTGGCTGTAGCACCACAGCAGTGTGGTTGACTCTGTTGCCCTCTGAAATGACCAAAGAAGACACTCGGATGTCTGGAATTGCTCCAAAGTCTCTAAGGAATTAAATAGAACAGACCACCTAGCATCAACATGGATACCAGAAATGACAGCTCAAATTTGTCTGTCAATCCTGCAAACTTTCCAAACCAAAACCAAGGAGCTAGTGCCAAATTTGGGAAGCTGTCCTGCAACTCTTTTTTCACTCTGATGTGGGCCTTGTTGGCTGGCCAGTGTTTATTGCTCGTCCCTAGTAGCCCTTGAAAAGGTGGTGTTGGGCTGCCACCTTGAACCACTGCAGTCCATTTAGGTAGACCTACAATGCTGTTCAGGGGGAAATTCCAGGATTTTGACACAGCAACAGTGAAGGAACAACGCTCTGTTTCCAAGTCAGGATGGTGAGTGGCTTGGATGGAAATTTGTAGGTGGTGACATTCCCATACACCTGCTGCCCTTGTCCTTCTAGATGAAAGTGTTCTTGGGTTTGAAAGGTGCTGCCTGAGGATCTTTGGTGAATTTCTGCAGTGCATCTTGTAGATCGTACACACTGCTGCGACTGAGTAATAGATGTTTGTGGGCATTGTGCATGTGGGGCCAATCAAGCAGGCTGCCTTGTCCTGGATGGTGACAAGCTTCTTGAGTGTTGTTGGAGCTGCACTCATCCAGGCAGATGGGGGAGTATTCCATCACATTCCTGACTTGTGCTTTGTAAGTAGTGGACAGGCTTTGGGAAGTCAGGAGATGAGTTACTTTCTGCAGTATTCCTAGCCTCTGACCTGCTGTTGTAACCACTATTTATATGACTCATCCAGTTGAGTTTCTGGTCAGTGGTAACCTTGAGGATGTTGATAGTGGTAACGAGATTGAATGTCATGGGGTGCTGGTTAGATTGTCTTTTGTTGGAGAAGGGCCTTGCGTGGCATTTGTGTGGTACGAATGTTACTTGCCACTTGGCCCAAGTCTGAATATTGTCCAGAACTTGTTGCAATGAGCTTGGACTGCTTCTGTTTGAGTCCTCAAATGGTGCTGAACATTGTGCAATTGTCAGCCAATATCCTATTTCTGACCTTGTGATGGAGGAAAGGTCATTGAAGCAGCTGAATGCGATTAGTCCTAAGGCGATGTCCTAGAGCTGAGATGACTGACTTCCAACAACCACATCTACGTTCTTATGCGTGAGTTATGATTCCAATCAGTGGAGAATTTACCCCGGATTCCCATTGATTCCAGTTTTTTTTTTGTTTTTTTTTTGCAAGGGCTCCTTGATGCCACACATAGTCAAATGCAGCCTTGATGTCAAGGACTGTCACACTCACCTCAGGTCTGGAATTCAGCTCTTTTGTCCATGTTTGAACTAAAGGTATATTGAGGTCAGGAGCTGAATGGTCTTGGTGGAACCCAGACTGAGCATCTTTTGAGTGTGTTGTTGCTAACCAGGTGCTGCTTGATAGCACTATTGCTGACCCATTCCATCACTTTACTGATGCCCGAGAGTAGACAAATGAGGCGGTAATTGGCCGGGTTGAATTTGTCCTGCTTTTTGTATACAGGACATGCCTGGGCAACTTCCCACATTGTCGGGTAAATACCATTCTTGTAACTGTACCGGAAGAACTTGGCAAGTTCTGGAGCACAGGTATTTAGTACTATTGTCGGAATGTTGTCAGGTTGCATAGCCTTTGCAGTATCCAGTGTCTTCAACCGTTTCTTGATGTTACATGGAATGAACCAAATTGACTGAAGGCTGGTATCTGGGGACTGCTGGACGAGGCTGAGATGGATTACCCACTCGGCACTTCTGGCTGAAGATTGTTGGAACTGCTTCAGCCTTATCTTTTGTGCTAATGTGCTGGGCTGTTTATCATTGAAGATGGGCACATCTGTGGTATGACATCCTCCAGTGAGTTGTTTAATTGTCCACCACCATTTATGACTGGATGTGGCAAGACTGCAGAGCTTGGCCCTGATCCTTTGGTTGTCGCATCACTCGGCTCGGTTCATCATTTGCTTCTTATACTGATTGGCATGCAAATAGTCCTGTTTGATGGCTTTACCAGGTTGACACCCCATTTTTAGGTAATGGTAGAGTAGAGGAAATGCTATGCCATGAGGTTGCACATTGTGTTGGAGTACTGTTCTGCTTCTGTTGATGGGTCACGGTGCCTCATGGGTGCCAAGTCTTCAGTTGTGAGATTTGTTTGAAGGCTGCCCCATTTAGCACGGTGGTAGTGCTACATGACACTTTACAAGATATTCTCAATGCGAAGGTGGAATATACAATCGACATGCAGTGGTCACTCTTGCCAATACTGTTATGGGCAGATGAGCCCGCAGTTTCTTGAGGATGGGGTCAAGAATGCTTTTCCTTTTTGGTTCCCTTGCTACCTGTCGCGGATCCAATCTAGTGGTTAATTACTTTAGGACCTGAATGGCTCGATTAGTAGTGATGCTGCCAAGCCACTCTTGGTGGTGGATGTTGAAATCCCTCACCCAGAGTACATTCTGCACCCACACGACCCTCCAATGCTTCCTCTAAATGTTCTTCAAAATGGAAGAGTACTGATTCATCATCCAAAGGAAGATGGTATTTGGTGATCAGCAGGAGGTTTTGTTGTCCAGAGCCAATGTTGAGGACTCCCTAGGCAACTCCTAATTGTATATCACTGTACCACCATCTCTGTTGGGTCTGCTCTGCTGGTGAGATGGTAATGGTAGTGTCTGGGACATTGTCTATAAGCTATGCATCCGTAGGTATGACTACATCAGGATGATGCTTGACTAATCTGTGAGACAACACTCCAACAAGGAGGACTTTGCAGGCTTTTGCCATTGTAACTTCTGCCTAGATCGATGCCAGATGATCCATCCAGGTTAATTTCTTTGTTCAGACTTTGTAGTGATTGATACAATGGAGTGCCATGGCTTGCTCAGCCATTTTAGAGGGCATTTGAGAATCGACCACATTGCTGTTGGTCTCGAGTCACATTTAGGCCAGACTGGCTGAAGATGGCAGATTCCCTTCCGTGAAGGATATTAGTGAATCAAATGAGTTTTTCGAAAAATCAGCACTGGTTTTGTGGTTTTTGGTGGATTTTTAACACCATATTTTATTTTAATGAATTCAAATTCAACCATTTACCATGGTGGGGATCAAACCAGGTCCCCAGAATAGTAGCTGCATTTCTGGATTAATAGTCGAGCAATAATAGCACTAGGTCATAGCCTCTCCTAATTAAGAAACTGCCTGATGCAGTCATGTTCTCAGAATTGCACCTTACAGACAATATCTCGGGCAGCAACCCTACCATCTCTGAGTATGTCCTGACTCCTCATCAGGACAGACCCATCAGAGGTGGCAGCACAGTGGCATACAGTCGAATGTTGCCCAGGGACTCCTCAACATTGACTTAAATCTTGTGAAGCCACATAGCATTGTTTCCACTATGAGCAAGGAAGAGGCTCAACAAATTACTTCATCTTGAATGCTGCAGGAGCACCGCGCAAGTGCAAACGCTAAGGCTGAAACAATTGAAACAGACTTCAGCCGTAATTTTTGAGCAGATGATTCATCTCTGCTTCATTTAGAAGTTCCCAGAATCACAGATCCCAGTCTTCAGCCAATTCAATTCACTCCACATGGTACCAAGAAATGGACAGAGGCATTGGATACTTGTCAGTACAATACAGCCTTCCAGATCTCTATCACCCTCCAACCTGTAATATCAGGCCTAATGTTGCAGCACCTAAAACCCTCTATCTGTGTAATTTCCTGTGCAGCTCCTATAATCATCCCCATCTCTAGGACTTTCTCTAGTCTGTACAAACCTCCCTGTCTCTAACCCCCACAGCCCTGCCAACCCACCCACTCAGTAAATCCCTCCTGTCAGGGGCAGCATGGTGGCACAGTGGTTAGCGCTGCTGCCTTGCAGTGCCAGAGACCCTGGGTTGATTCCACCCTCTAGCAAATATCTGTGTGGAGTTTGCACGTTCTCCCCATGTCTACATTGGGTTCCTCCCACAGTCCAAAGATATACTGGTTAGGTCGTTTGGCCATGCTAAATTGTTCGTAGTGTCCAGGGATGTGCAGTTTGGGTGGGTTAGGGTCACCTTCTCACGTCTCTACACCTCTCCCTAACTCTATGACCGTTTCTAGCTCCTATAACCCACATGTACCTGTAATCTCCAGCTTCTACAACACTGCAAGATCTCTGCATTCTTCTAATTTTGATCTCTTGAGTATCCCCAATTTTAATAATTCATTCCAAGCTCCATGTTATTTTCCTGTTGCAGATTTTTGTTCTTAAATTATTTCTGTAATTGCCTCTTGAAAGCTCTGCTGAAGGTGGTGCTGCTGCCCAGTTAGGCATAATCCTACTGTCATTCTGATCAGTAATGCCCTTTTCCTCCTCTGCTCTGAGGAAAACAGTCCTAGCTTCTGTGGTTTCCCTACATACACTGAAGTGCCTCATCCTTGATGCCACTCTCATAATTTTCTGAAAATGTTACATGAAAAGCAATAATGTTACTTTGATAAATTTCCTTTTTTTTGGTGCCCCTAGATTTCCAGAGGTGAAACCATGAAAGAACCTTTGCCTATTGATGAGAGCAGCAGGAGTCAGAGCTACAAATCGGAGCCCAACCTGGAGTCGGATGCATGCCGTTCACCAACCATCTATAAGAGCTTCCAGTTTGAGCCCGCTTCCAATGGCTCGCGCTCGTCCAGTCTGAAGTCAGCTCATGGTGGAGGCTTTGAGATGAGCCATCTGCAGTCCATTCGCTCTGAGGGAACCACCTCTACCTCTTATAAGAGCTTGGCCAACCAGACCCGTAATGGAAGCATGTCCTATGACAGCTTGGCCACCCCCTCAGGTAGCCCAGAAGTGGAGTCGCCCTGCCCAGTGCCAGGTCCTGAGCCAACAGGCTACCATTCACCCTTTATGTCAGCCAAGATTGCTCAGCAAAGGGAGGCGGACCTCCACCGCTACCCGCTAGCCCCTGGTGCATATGGAGCCCCTCCCCACTGTCCCAGGGACCCTCCAGCCATCTCCTCTTCCGATAGCCGGTCGCGACAGGAGCGGGAAAAGCTGCTGCGAACAGACGAGACGCCCGCTGTCACTGCCCACCATCACCAGCATCATGCCCGGATCAGTATGTCCTCTGATGACACCAGGCGCTCACCTGGCCTTAAAAGTCCAACCCAGCGAACCACGTCTCCACTAGTCTCTTCGACCTCTTCCTCCTCTTCTCAGTCTGGTGGAGCCCCTGGTCAACCTACACGTTTCTCCAGGGTCTCTGAGGGTGGTGCACACACCCCCAGGGTGCGCTCCATGTGCTCACCTGAGGCTCCCCTGTCTTCTTCTGCCATGGGCAAGTCAACATCCTATGTGGTTGCACGGCCTCCATATGGAGCTGCATTGGACACCAGTGAAGTATTGGCAACAACGCACCCACTATTGGCTCCCAAGTAAGTTCTATCTGGATTGCACTACGTTTCCACCACTTTTTTTTTCGTTCGTTCACGAGATGAGAGCTTCACTGACTAGGCCAGCATTTTATTGCCCATCCCAAATTGCCCAGGGGGCATTCAGGAGTCAGCCACATTGCTGTGGGTCTGGAGTCACATGTAGTCCAGACCAGGAAAGGATGGTAGCTTCCTATCCGAAAGGAAATTACTGAACCAGATGGGTTTTTCCTGATATAACAAGGTGTAGAGCTGGATGAACACAGCAGGCCAGGCAGCATTAGAGGAGTAGGAAAGCTGACGTTTTGGGTTGAGACCCTTGTTCAGAAATGGGGGAGGGGAAGGGGATTCTGAAATAAATAGGGAGAGAGGGGGAGGCGGATAGAAGATGGATAGAGGAGAAGATAGGTGGAGAGGAGACAGACAGGTCAAAGAGGCGGGGTTGGAGCCAGTAAAGGTGAATGTAGGTGGGGAGTTAGGGAGGGGATAGGTCAGTCCAGGGAGGACGGACAGGTCAAGGGGACCGGATGAGGTTAGTGGGTAGGAGATGGGGGTGGGAGGAATGGTTAGAGAGGTGGGGACGAGCTGGGCTGGTTTTGGGATGCGGTTGGAGGAGGGGAGATTTTGAAGCTTGTGAAGTCCACACTGATACCCTTGGGCTGCCGGGTTCTCAAGCGAAATATGAGATGCTGTTCCTGCAGCTTTCGGGTGGCATCATTGTGGCAATGCAGGAGGCTCAGGATGGACATGTCGTCCAAGGAGTGGGAGGGGGAGTTAAAATGGATCGCGACTGGGAGGTGCAGTTGTTTGTTGCGAACCGAGCGAAGGTATTCCGCAAAGCGGTCCCCAAGCCTCCGCTTGGTTTCCCCGATGTAGAGGAGGACATGACGGGAACAGTGGATACAGTATACCACATTAGCAGATGTGCAGGTGAACATCTGTTTGATGTGGAAGGTCTTCTTAGGGCCTGGGATGGGGGTGAGGG